TGTAACTTATTATAATAATTCTCGATACTAAATAATTTTTACATGATTTTGAGTTAAAGATTGCAGTTTTATCAAGCAAGAAATAAAAAAAAGGTTAAAAATTTATAATAACTATTTTTATTTTGAATTAATATAAAAATATCCTTCTTTTAAAAATTTCATTTTAAAATGTAATACTAAAATGAATATTCATTTCACCATTAATTTAATATCTCTACTTTACATCTTGCATTTAAATGTACGCATGGATACAAATCTTTGGATGTATCAATAGCGAGAGTCTAATAATAAATAGAAATGGATACGAATAATTCATTTGTGGATTATTTGGTCCATTTCACATACTTATTTTGAATATCCACTTCAACAATTATGATATCATTCCTTGAAAATTTGAATGTTATTTCTTTCTAATTTTTATCTGGTTAATCATGATTATAACAATAACCACTCCAATGTATATTATATGTTCTATTTTGAACGATTAATATCATAAATATACCCTGCTCCAAGATAATAACAACTTTTAAAATCCTAACTCTACACAATATCCCTAAAACCAATTCCAATCATAACAAAGCCAAGTTCAAGAACTTTAACAGCAAATTGGATCACCCTATTCTTAGGAATTATTTAATCGCACATACAGCATTACTCATTTGTCTCAATAACTTTTCCATCCTAAGTTACTGAACTTCTATTATGTTTATAAGTTGTTGAAAATGTCAGTTAATAAGAGAATTACTACACCTACTAAATAATCTTTTACTCATACCAAAGATTGTGATAATTATTTAAGTATATCCTCATTTTAGCTTATTTTTAATTCTGCTTGCTTCTACTTAAGTATAAGTTCACATTAAGTTTCTATGATAAATTTGTATATAATTTTTTATTCAAATTCTTTAAGCTTAAGTGATTAACCTTCATTTTAATTCTTCAAATTAGAAATTTATTTTTTTTATTCTTCATCATGTTTCTAAAAATCATTTATCATTTATTGATTCTTTTAGTTTAATTTCATTAATGATTTCATTTCATAAACAATATTTTCTAAAAACTCTGATTAACCAATTAATTAGAATTAATTAAATTTTGGTTATTACAATTCTGATTTTGTACTGGTAATCTTCGAAATTGAATAATCTAAAATGAACACTTAATCAATGAAATTATTGATCTTATCAAAGGATGACTAAATATTATAATCATAATTTAATACATCTAAATGCTACTCTAATACTTAAATATGTAATTCTATTTTTCTATTTACTTCCTATCTTGTTGTCATTCTATTGAATTCTATTAATTTTATTATATTTTATTAAATATCAAAATGGAAAAAAAGTTGGAGATTGGATAATAGAAAATAAAAAAATCTCAAAATGGTAATAGGAAGTTTAAAAAATCGGTAAGCGGATAATATTGATTATTATTAACTTAAGAGCTGATAAGTTTAGAATGTATATTAAAACTTTGCTTTAGAACAATACGATTATTTAATATATGGAACAAATTCTTGGTTACTTGGTTGGTAATAAAGTAGTTAAAATTTCATACACAAGATTTAATATGATATTTGAAAACCTCTTTAGAATTGTATACCTTCAATTTCTCTTAACAAGATGTTTAGAGATTCCAAAAAATTGTGTTTTTGGGTATGTAGCATATCTAATAATGAAACTTGCTAAGAATAATAATTTAGATGTGTTTCTAATGGAAAGAGATGTGTAGAAATTTAAGAATGTAAAAATTACAAAAACATCAGATAGATGCATTAATAAAAATTAAAAAAGGTAAGTATTATTTATTGGATTAAGAAGTTAAATAGTGTCAATTGTAAAAAAGTGAAATGAATTACCAATATTTTTAATAAACCATAAAATGTGTAAAGAAGATTTAGATGAGTGCACTGTAACTGATGAATAATATGGTTGTATAAAGTTAAAGGAGTCATAATGTTATGAGAGTTTATCAAAATCTTAAAACTGTTTTTGGGATTATTAAAATAAATTATGTATTGAAAAGATGTGTGAAATCTGCCATTTTTATTAGATTATGAATGTAAGTCATATTTAAGTGAATGTAAAGTAATAAAGAATAAGATATAATTGTTTATTTTAAACTATAAATTATATACAATTGCATAAAAGTAAGTAATGAAGCAATGCTTAAACTAAAAATGATTGTGTAACAGATGTTTAGGGAAACAAATTTTAATATCATTAAATTAATGCAAAATCAAAAGTTTTAATACAACTTCAGAGTCATTAAAGAATTATTAATAATGTTAGGATTATAATAATCTTTTGGATTGTGTTATGGTGAGATAGCTAAGATTAAGTGAACTTCTGAAAATGGAGGATGCAAATAGATTACAAATAATATGGGAATTGTATAAATAATTTAAATGGTGGATGCAAAGTAACACCTTAATAATGTGAATAATGCACAATAAATTTTTAAGTTTTTATCAAATGCTAAAATATAGATTGGATCTGTAGATAAAAAGAATGATTGTAATTAAGCACTTCAAAATTAATGTTACAATAGTATTTAAGGGTTTTATTATAGATGGAATAATTCTAGTAAGATTTGCGAAAATCAAAATTATACAGATGCAAATCCTAATTTATATAATTAAGATTGCAAATTATTTAAAGTTTTTTCTTGTTCTTGCATATCAGATCTACTGGAATTGGATGTTAATTATGGCCAATTAGTTGTAATTAAATGGGAAATTAAAAATAGTGTTAATTAAGAAAATGGAACTCTATGGTTTTGGACTGGAAGTTCTTGTATAATTATAAAGATTAACATTAGAATGCAAAGATGCTCCTAAAATATTTATAGAGATAATATTTAATTAAGTATTGTATTTATAATTCAGTACTTGGAGATGCATGCATCGACCTTTACCACTAGTTTGTATCTGATTTATCAATTTAATCAAAATTATTTTATTTTTAATTTATCTTCTAATACCAAGAAACGAGTAAGAAATGTTTTTCATCTATTTTCTTTCCTGAAATAAATTAATAAGGTTTAACACTACCTTAATTAATGAGATGCATTTTTAATTATAGAAGCTTAAAAATAAATATTCAACAATTTGGAATCTTTTTGAAATTAATTTTAAGCATATTAGGAGGATAATAATTTTCTATTAAAAATATCTTCTATTAATATATAGAGAATAGATTTGAAATAAATATTAAATAAGTTTATTTTATAGATAATAACACAAGAAGGCAAAAGAATAATATTTGTATAGCAAAAAAAATTATCAAAAAATGATTATTGAAATACTCATCACCATTATGATTTAAAATAGCATAAAAATACATAATAATTGAATAATTCTATATAGGAATAAGAACAAATATAATAAATTCAACGATAAGTTATTCTAAAATACACTCTCTAGATGTCTCACCTTTTGAATTAAATCATACTTATTATAATCCTTTATTTGATAAACAGAAAGTTTATTTAATTTATTGATATTAGATTTATTAATTCATCAAATTATAAACTAAATTATCAAATATAAAATATTAATATGATTCCAGATTATATATAATTTTAACACCTAGATTGAGAGCTAAACTTTTTTTGGAATATGTTTTGATCAACTGTATTGTTTTCTTGTTAATGGAAATTGTTTTTTTTCGAGTAATAAAACTTATGCTACCATTTCTTTTCTTTTTAATTTTCCTTTTAAAAATTATTTAAACTTTAGAAATTTTAATCAA